CTACGAAAAAGACACTTGCACTCGAATGTTTATAGCAGCACAGTTCATAATTGCAAAGCTGTGGAAAACAACCCAAGTGCCCATCAATTCATGAGTGGATTAATAACATGTGGTATATGTATACCATGGAGTACTATTCAGCTCATGTAATTCTTTTAACTCCTGTATATTAGGATTCGAAGTAACAGTTTTTAGGAATAAGGAATGGAGAGAAGTGCATTTGAAGAAAATAGATTCGATGCTTAAGGGTTGTATGGGAAAGTCTTTCAAATCGCGCCATTTTTAAAAATAAATATATAACTATTCTTTTATAAATTCTGCCTAACTAATTTAAACTAAAAAAACACTACTATGCTGGGTCACAAGTTATGTTTACTGTATGCCAAAACGATAAAGTGAACACTGTAGGAGAGGAGAAATAATTTTCAGGCCGGGTCCTTGCTTCTCAAGTAGGAGATGGCAAAATCACCTTCATCCAAACTGCAATAAACTGTGAAATATTTTTTAAAATACCCATTTGAGTAATCTCAAATGTGAGGGATCAGCAATGTAGGATCAATGAGTGGGCTACGGCCTGAAAAATCTGTAAAATGGCTTCTAGCAAGTCTAGGGAGGCAGGAATAATATTTATAACGGACTGCGGATGAGATTCTTGCATTTATTAATATTAATATTTATTCTTGCATTTATTAATATTAACATGAACAGGGCATTTATTAATATGCCAAAATCATTATACCCACTGTGTGTGCCACACACTGTCTGCTAATTACCTTTCCCATTCAGAGAGAAGATCTTTACCTACATAAAACATCTTTCAATCTAATGAAAAAGGCAGATGTGCATGATTATTCTTATACATTATAAAACGTGAATGATAGGTACAGAAAGGATGTTTTAAAAGTGATCTGAGATATCTGGGACGGTCATGATTAATTAATTCTGCCCCGAGGAATTAAAGAAAGCTTTGAAGAGTAGGTTTCGTTTGAATTGAAACATGAAGTATGAGTAATATTTCCAAAAGTAGGTAAATAAGTTTGCATGCCTTTGGGATTGAGGGTGGCGGGGGTGGGGGGTGATCTTAGGATGTAGGTAGAGTCACAGCAAATCGCTAGCAGTGGGCGTTCAAAGAGTGTGCTTTTAGATGCAGATCTGCAAAGGGTGGGTTGGAACTATGGCAGATCGAGATTGGGCACAGATTCTTCACTGCTTTTCTCAGGAAGAAGAAAACCATATTTCCATACCCCTTGGATCTGGAACGGCTTGCTCTGACCATCCTAAACAGAATGCAAGCGATGTGTGATCTATGTGTGAGCTTGGGCCATGCCTTGAGAAGCCAGGAACGTTCTTCTGAACACTGCCGCAGTGTGAATAAATCTGAGCTAGGCTACCGCTGGGGGGACAAGTGGGGAAACTGAGGCACCATGATTGAAGCCCGTCAGTGGCCAGACGTTGGGTAAAGCTATTATACATTATTCAGCCCGTGCCAAAAGCTTTAGAATTCTCCAGGTAAGTAAACCCAGGTGAGATGGGTGGAAGAACAGCCCAGCTGATGTCAGGGCAAAACGCCAACCCACAGAGTTGCAATCTGACGCATGGTTGTTTTTTTGAAGCCACTGCATTTTGGAGCAGTCTGTTGCCCAACAAAGATCAACGGCTATGGGGCCACTTTGTTGGGGGCCTATGATGTACCCTATGAAGTGTTTGGATTTTATTCTATGAAAAGTCAGGGGCCTTAAAATGACTAATACAATTCTGTCCACCTTCCCTCAACCTGACATAGCAGAGCAGTTATTCTCTAAAAGTAGTTCACTGTGACCTTGGACTCCTGGGCTCAGGCGATCCTCCTGCCTCCAAGCCTTCCAAGTAGCTGGGACTACGGGCACCCACCACTATGCCCGTAGAGACGAAGTCTGTTATGTTGCCCAGGTTTCTCTCCAGTTCCTGGCCTCCAGCTATCTTCCCCGTTTGGCATCCCAAAGCCCTGGGGTTACAGGCATGAGCCACTGTGTCCAGCCCTAAAAGTTTATATGTGAAAGTTTGCTATCTTGCTAACCCTATCTTGATCTTTTCACTAGAGACAACCGCTTTTTGTTGGGGCTTGTTTTGTCTGCACCTGTTGGTGTTTTCGGGTTATTTTGCTTATTTGGCTTATTTTGCTCCAGGTCTCCTATACACGAGACAAAAAGAAAACCCAGGAAATTCGCCACCCCACATACCTTAGCCAGCTTTCCTCCTTCTTTCAGCTTCTCAGAGTTTTCTTAAGTTTGTAGATAATGTCCAGACTTTTTAACTGTACTCAGTAGGAAGAATGGGATAAAATAGGTTTTTACTCCATTTTTTTTTTCCAGAGTCAAAAATTTCACAGCTGACTTTTATTTCCTTTTCTCATTTTAGTACTCAATGTTTCCACCTGAACTAGCAACAGAAACAGATCCGGGTCGCAAGCTGAGTGTCTACTGTATACCAAACAAAAGGCAAACCTTATGTGAGGGAATAAATACTCAACTTCAGTGCCTGGTTCCAGCCTTTTGACTCGTGGTGACCAACTGATTTTATCTTCTGAATCTTTGGAAAGGGAATTTTATATAGCTTTTATTTTTATTTATTTATTTATTTTAGAGACACAGTCTTGCTCTGTTGCCTGGGCTAGAGTGCTGTGGCATCAGCCTAGCTCACAGCAACCTCAAACTCCTGGGCTCAAGCGATCCTCCTGCCTCAGCCTCCTGAGTAGCTAGAACTATAGGCAGGCGCCACCATGCCCAGCTAATTTTTTCTCTATATATATATTTTTAGTTGGTCAATTAATTTCTTTCTATTTTTAGTAGAGATGGGGTCTTGCTCTTGCTCAGGCTGGTCCCGAACTCCTGAGCTCAAATGATCCAATCACCCCGGCCTCCCAGAGTGCTAGGATGACAGGCGTGAGCCACCGCGCCCAGCCCCAACCCACTTTTAAAGTTTGGTGTCACTTTTTTCTTCAGGAGAGAGTCCTCATTCTACCTGCCAACCTTGATACCTCTGTAACCCCAATTAAGGCCGGCCAGGTTCTAGCCTAGGGGGAAAGCATCATGATTCAAGAGAATCAGACTGTAAGTTTCCTCCTAAAAAGCAACAAACGGTAATTTGTGTTTCTTAAATATGTTGTTGATCTTTGAGACACATTCTTGGTGGATGGTAAATTCTCACTAGACTACTGTTGAAATGGATCATAGCTCAGAACTTTTATTCTAGTTTAGTAAGAGGGACTGTAAGGATAGACATTCTTCTCTTAGCCTGTAGAGATATGGAAATTTAAAATAGTCCTCAGTTACCAAATTCTTCCCATTGCAATTCTATTTGCACTTTTGTGTTGGGAAAAATAGAGCAGGGTGCAAGGGTATTTTTCAGATCCATTCCTTGCCCCTTGCTGCTGTGCTTTGTACCACAGGGGAGATCACTGGTACAAATTATATTTTCTGGGTTCCTTTGTCAACTGGCTTCTACCTATATTGGAAAATGGAAGGTTTTGGCGGGAAGTTAGAATATGGGATGGAACTGGAAAGTAGGGTAATTTTCCCTCCTCTTTGTGCTGTGGGAGGCATCTTTGGAAGTGACTGACTTCTTAGAGGCTACAGTTCTTAAGGCAGAGCTTGCTCCTCTGTATTCCAAATTCTTCTTCTTCTGATATTTTATTACTCCGAGATATTATTACAGTAAGACACCACCTTCCTTTTCTTCTCTAGCTCTAGGAGTAGTGGTGATGCTTTTACTTGAATAACATCATTTACATCTTCTCTGTGCTATTATGACCCCTTTAGTATCCCAACGATCTTGACAATCACACAAATAGCAAGTGGTAAAGGTGGGACTGGGACTGTGGCAACTGAACTGTCCGAGCTCTACCCACCTGCCAGTGAGCTGCAGCTACATCAAGCCATGCTGGGACTGCCAACTTCCCCCACACGGAACGCAGAGCGTGAGAAGAGCTCTTTTCCTAAAGCCCGATAGATAATTCAAGGTAAATCATGCATCTTGGTTTTCTTTACGAGTCCACTGCAGGTGATATTTATATATATATATATTTTTTACATAATGGTACAGTGAGAACTCTGAAAATACATCCAAAAATAAACACAGATTTTTTTTTCTTTGTTAAACCTTGAGTTGGTGATGCTTATCTCTTCCTGCCATGCTAGAAGAAGTGATACCACACATGCCACTCAAGCGCCATTGCGACCAACCACAGAGGAGACTGGATTTTTATAATTGTTGAAGATATTTTTACCCTTTCTCAGCCTATTAAAGAAAAAAAAAATTACGCTATAGCTCTTTCTGTGGAAATGGTGAGGCGAAATTGTGTGGCTTATGATAAGAAAGCTTACCGGGAGGAAATTACTTTTCATAAAGGCTGACCTTTTTAGCTTGCAAGGGACAGTTTTGTGTCTTGATTTGTAAGAGGTCGCTTCCCAATTGTTCTTGGAAAGGCTTTCAATCTGGTTGTCAGCTAAAATAAAATTTTAGTGTATTCTCGGATGAGGTCTTCTTTCCCTTCTGGGTTAAGGGTGAATTAATCACTACCAAGGCTATCTGGATATGGCTCTATGTCCGTTTTGAATTATGTTTGAACTAGCCAACATTAAGTCTGAAAAGATCATTGAAGACACTGAATATTTTTAAAGAAGAGTCAATGGAATTCTAATACATTTTCTTTTTTTTTTTTTAATAAATACATAAAGCTCTTTACCATTCCCCTCAATTATTTTGATTAACATGATAATAGGATCTTTTGGAGCATAGTTATACCAATTTTTCATAGCCTGATGTAAAAGACTCATTTCACGGAAATAATCATGACTAGCATTAATAGATGAATGTTGGTGCCAATAACACAACAGTATAAGGCATATTTACACCATCTTAATGCACATAAACACCATACACATACACAAAATATCACAGATCTGGACAAAAGAAAATTCAGTCTTCTAGACAGCTCACATTTATAGGCTTTGCCTAAAACTAATTTTTTTTTTTTTGCTTTTTTTTTTTGTATTTTTTTTTCTTTCCAAGCAGCAAACAGATCTTCCCTATTTCTTGTGAGTTATTTGTAACATTGTGCTCATGCAAAAATAATACTCGTTTTATTGCATTAACAGTTAGATAGTTTTGGATTTGCATCCTAAAACCATCCCCTAAAATTTTGCTTTATGTTCCTTCATCCATATTGTCCTTTTGGTTGATGCAAAGATACGATGGTTCGTTTTTTTGTTTTTTTTTGGTGAGTTGCAAAATGACAAACATGTCCAGTTGACCACAGCTCAAAAAAAAAAAAAATCAAGATTCTACGCTTCTTGATCATGCACATTTTACTCTCGTTCTTGCAGAATGGTTTGAATAATCAAATATACCATTTCAATTTGACATTTATTGATTTCATTACCCTCCCCACCCCCTTATTTTTTTTTTATCATGTTTCTAAAAACAACAACCACAAAAGAACGAAAGAAAAATCTTGTCCCACATCCACTGTTCACAGAAAAAGAAGGAAGAGCAGCAAGAATCACGCTGACCACTGTTAGAACATCAGTCAGGTGGTGACACTGTAGTAAACATCGAACGCCTTCAAGACCCTGCGGGGGGACGTGGCAGTCACTATAGCCCGTACTTCTGCAAGAGTTCAGACTGCCACTGGCGCTTGCGCTCTGGGAAGCAATCTGGGATGTGGATCTTTTTGAAATCCTGAATACACTTCTTCATTTCTTCTTCTGCACTCAGCTTCTCGCAGACTTTCTTTTTGGAAAGATTGGTTTCCCGGGACTTGCTGATGAGCGTCTGAAAGAGTTCGCTGTTCCTGCGCTTGTCTGGCGGGGGCATCCACTGCAGGGGCGCCTTTTTGGAGGGGCGATCCAAAGTCAGGGTGTTGGGCTGGTGGGCGGCTGCCGGCTGGGCGCTGGGCGGGTTGTCCTGGGGGGTGCTTGCCTCCGAGTGGCTGTCGCAGCTGGAAGTGGAGAGGTCATTGCAGGAAGTGCCACTTTCGCTGCCTTTGCCAGTGACTTTATCCTCTTTCCTGTCTTCGGGTTCCTGTTTGGGTGACACTGTTTTCTGGGGTGGTCCTACAAAGGAAAAAAAAAAAAAGAAGAAGAGTTGAATGAGACGTGGGAAGTTCACATTAAATAAATTCTAAGTTTTCTGTTGTTGAACTAAGAATATTTATCTTTAAGAAAAAAATGCTCTTTGTTGCACGAGTCTACGTGTTGGGTGCAAAACACAATACCGGGGGTGTTTATAGGGTCCATTGAAAGAGGTTTGCTTAAGGAGAATGTTTGCCGTAATAGATCATCCATAGCTTTATGTTGAAAAAAAAAAAAAAAGATGTTTGCTCTTTTAGTTGCTATCTCCTGAAATCTGAAAATGACATATGGAAACGTTTTGCTTGCCTGTCCTCTATCTGTTTCACTAGACACTTGGCTCGTTTGTGTTCTAGTCACAGCACCAGGTGTCCTTTGTGTGTGTATTTTGCCACTGTGGAAGCAAGAACGGGCCATCGCTCTTTTTTACAAAGTAGTGGCGTTTCCCTGGCCCAGGGCTGCAGTGGCATCATTTATGCTTCTAAATGGGAGGCTGCTTTAAATCTTACCTTTAGTCTCTTAATCTTGTCTTCCTGTCTACTTTCTTGGAAAGAATTATGAAAGTGCTATAAGATATATATGGGCCTACTATTATGGTGTGAAAATATAGCTGAAATACAGTAATCTCTTAAAATACAAGGCTTACAATGTGAGGTAAATTACCTAGGAAGACAGTTTTTCACAAAAGGATAGTTTGCCAAGATAATTATTTCAAATGCCCGGTTGATTTCCAAGAGGGAGGATATTTTATTCCCGTTGACTCCACTGCAGGGTTAGGACTTGTGTTTAACATTTATTGAACACTTACCACACACCCAGCACTATAATAAAAACCTTGATTAAGTGCACAGCCCAGCCATTCAGAGACCTAAGTTACCCAAATCTTATTTTTTTTTTCCTTATAGTTAACTTTCACGAACAAGTTGTATAAAACAGAATTTGGGGGAATCAGGCATCAGTATTTTGACACAACTGCCCAAGGGGTTTTGCGGGACAGCCAGACTTGAGAACAACTGGTCTAATTCTGAGAGTCTCGACCGCAGCTGTGTACTGGAATCTCCTAGAAAGCTCTGGATGATGGATGACTTGGAAACCACCTCAGACATCCTGAGTCAAGGTGTGCTACCTGCCCGTCAGGCCACTAATAGATCCAAGCGATTTCAGTGTGCAGCTAAGGTTGGGAAGTATTTCTCAGTCTGATATATTAATATATGAAATGAGTTAATAACCGACATGGGTAGTTACCCATGGTGGGTAGTTTATTTTACTCAGAACACCGAGGAGACAAGTGAACACAAACACTGTTCACAAAAGCAGCTCCTATGTGCAAAATAGATTGCTGGTCGCCATGCCAATTTTCCTATTTAAAATCAGAGGAAACGAAAGTTGATACCAAATATTTAGCTGAGCGAGATTAAAGATTTTAAAGAGCTTCACGACTTTTCGGAATAATGGAAAAATTCCATATCTTGATTTTGGTGTTGGTTACAGGAAGGTATGTATGTTTGTGAAAACCGATAGAATCGTACACCTAAAATGGGTAGGTTTTTTTGTACATAAAATTATACCTCAACCTGACCACCTTGCCAAAGAAAAACCATTGCCCTTTTTAAGGCTTCGTTCCTTTTTTGAGGGAGGTTTTTACGCCTTTTTTCACCTTTCTTTTTTCGTTATTCCGTTAAACTTGGACCCATTGCCATTGTTTTTATTTTTTTTTTAGGAAGTTGCCTTGTTACCTTTTGGGAGTTTTTTGCAGGTTTGGTTTTTTAAAAAGTTGTTTGTTTGTTCTGTGTTAAGCCTGTGCAATTTTTATTTGCTCTCGGGGAGAATGGGGGTGAGGCTTAGCGGTCGGGTGGGAAAGGCGGGGCTGCAAACACGGTGCTAGACTTTCCCACGTCCAGCCCTTAAGTGCTTCTGTCCTGAGTGGCCGGTGGGTATGGACTCTAAGCTCCCTTGCCCTCCGTGTTCCGGCTGGATTCAGCCAACAGCGAAGACCAGCAGGACAACGCCCACCCACTCCAGGATTGCTGGGACCCAGTTGTTCCCCAGGAATGGAGGAGGCCCGGCCCTGTCAGGCAGCAACTTCCATCTCTGTCTCCCTCTTCCTTCTCTTCTCCTCCTTCACTCTTCCACCACCCTTCTCCCTGGACTCCAGTAAATGGAGGCTCACTGTGTCTGGCCTGCAGGTGTCCCCCAAGCCTACTGTGACCAGTCCTGGGGCGCTGCACACACTGGTGTGAGCTGTCATCTTAAATTCTCTCCAATGACCCAGTCAAGTGTGCCCTCTCTTTTACCCCGAGTCCCTGAGTAACAGACCCACCCTGGCCAACAGCCATCTGCTCCACCGACTAGAGAGGGGCTGTTACTTGCAGGATTAGTTTTAAGTGGCGCTAGCTTTTTGTGGCAGTGATATTGAAAATACGACACGTTTGGAATCCTGCTGACCATTTGATCCTAGCTCTCTAGTAAAAACAAGCTTTGTGGCCTTGAGCAAGATACTTAGCTTCTGGAAGCCTTAGTTTTGCTCATCCATAAAATGGGGTAGGACGGCTTTCCTCATGGGGTTATTTTAAGAGTAAATGAGATACCATATAAAAGGGTCTAGGATAATTATGCTCAACAGTGAGAGTACATGAAGGTGTATCGGTGGAAGTTTTTGAATGTATGTATGTCATGCCCATCCCCAGAGGTTTTATTATGTGTGCTGAAGGGTTTGTATCCATGTGTTTATATGCAGGTGGGTTTGCTGGAGGAGACGTATCTGTTTATCTAACCACCTGTACAGCTGAATGTGATCCCAAGAGAGCATGACACTCACCACCTTAATGCAACATAGGATATAAAACAATGGTATTTTCTATCCTTTCTGTCTTCTGCAATACTTTAAACCAAAAATCCCTATTAAAGGAATCTATGAGTGTCACTTCCAGTAAGGACTAAAGGATTAAACTGCAAATATCTAAGCAAACCAATTTACATTTAAGGATAGATGAGCGCTGGGAAAAATAATTTTGTGTTTATAGGCAGGAGAACAGAACGTTATACAGAGATACTCGGGCAGAAAATAATAACTCCTAAGAGGAAGACAGCACAGAAAGAGAATACTAGATACCATGACAGCAAATGCCTTATTCTGTCTCTCTAGTCACTGGGAGGAAAAAAATGCTTGAAGACAGATGCCAGGGAGGATTCAGAGTTATATAAGGTCCATATGTTTGCTAAATGGGTTATATACAGTTACTAGGGCCAATGGCATTACAAGTTATTGATGGAAATAAAGCCTCCTCCCCTCAAAGAACATGCATGAATACAGAATCTTCACGGTACAACAGAATGCAACATGTGTGATAGAAATGAATTGCTCCTGTAGTGAAAGAGAAAGATCAAAGCAGACTTCTTTAAAGAAAGTGTCAATGAGTTCAGCTGAGGATTTGGTACTGAGCCAGACACGGTACTGGGTTCTGGAGGTGACACACATATGGGTGAGCTCCTTGCTCTGATCAACCTCACAGGCTCGCGCTAACTCCAAGTGCACGAGGAGAAAACGATGCAGAAAAAACAACTGAATATATGTGGGCAAGGACACCTACAATTTTCTGGAAAGATGAGCTAAGATGCATTCCACACCAAGGGGTGGAATTTCTTACGCTAGTTTTTAAAATTTTTTTCCCAATTCTTTCTCCACTTTCTTTGCCACTTTTTAATCACCTATATCCCTTTTCTCCCTTCCCACCCCCCCCAAAAAAAACAAATAAGATGGATCAGAACATGGCCAGGAATATAGTCTATTTTATTGTATTTTATAATAATTGTTTAAAAATGCAGAGGAAGATTTAGAATATCTCTCGTTGTAGACTTTAAGAACTATGAAGAAAAGGGAGTATGAATCTGAATTTACTATGATTTTTAAGAGCTTCTTTAATAAAAAAACTTACAATAGTTATACATATTAATGAGAGTTAACAAATATATACAATTTTATGTTTTGTGATTTCTATTTAATAAGCTATCCTTAGGCAAGGTCGACTCCAAACCAGACCAAATAGATTCAGAGGTTTATTTTATGACTTAATGGAGAACACTTAGCTTTATTCTGTCCACATTTTTGAATGTTTATATACTATAATATTTATATATAAATATATATTTATATAAATATTTATATAAATATAAAATAGTTCTTTATATAAATTATTAGGTATGATTATTAGTCTTCTTTTGATTTATGCCGGCATTTTTTATTACTTGACTAAGCACATACTTAAAATTGTTATTGATTACCTAGCGCATTCAAATTTGGGACTAAGTTACAACAAGTTAAATTGATTTACCTGCTTTTATGACATGAAATTGAGAAAAATAAAATAATTCAGAGGAAACAATGATTTACTCTGATTGCCTAGCTTCCTTGAAGATGCCTGCTAATTGTAGGCTTTCAGGGATAATTTAAAACTTAAATTTTACATTATTCCATTCAACGGTCCAAAGCCACTCGAAATGTGTTGAGCACGACATGAACGATAATTTAAGTATCACCAAGTCTTGAGTGCATGGGAACAGCATGACTATTAGAAACTTCTCTGTGTCCCAATTAGTAACAAATATACCATGTATATCTGAACGATCTTCCTGAAAGCATTTTGCCCTGTGAGTCAGAGCAGCAAACAGGCTTGGTATAAAAAAGGAAAACGTGCATGTGTTTTGGTGGTCTCACCAGCTATGCTTTCTTTCATTATACAAAGAACTCACAGCTAATTATTAAAGTGTAAGCCGCAGATCAGCGAATAAGCAAATCTCACACGTATCTAAGGTTTATGTTTACAAACGAGTTAATTATTTAGAAGCGTCAGATACATAAGGTACACCTAGGAAATTTCAAATGTTGGAACAATTAATCAACTTTTCCGTTTGGCCATTTGCCGTGAAATAGACTAAAATATCCACCCAGGAATGCTCCAGGCTTTGAGCAAGTTTCAGTGGGAAGT